ATCACAATAGTGTAAAGTGAAACTTTACACTGAAAATGTTACAATTTAGAAGTGCTATTACAAGAGCTATTAGCTATGAAATATATTTATGTTTCAAAAGATGGAATGTATACTTTATTTGAATAATGTTGCTAGACTATTTACAGGTAATCAATTTACTTTGTACTCGTTTATATGTGAGCAGCGATTTTATTTTGGAACGAAGAAATAAATCTGCTCTGAGCCCTAATTTCTTTAGGAATAGAATTCCAAACGTGCATGTGCTCCGGTCATACATAAAACTATTTTTTATTGTTAGTACGTGCAGGTTTTGGTGAACTAAGACCACGGTCCACTTGAAATGCCCCAAAGGTTGTCAGTTTATTTTCTCATTTTTGTATGAAAAAAAGATTAGCGAGTGATTTGGGAGCCATATTATACAAATAATGAATGTTTATGAGTGCAATGGTAAGAATATTTTCATGAGGTGAAAGATGGAATGTTCCATTCAACGAGGCGACAGCCGAGTTGAATGGAACATTCCATCTTTCACCGAATGAAAATATTCTTACTATTGCACGAAGAAACATTCATTATTTGTTTTATATAATACCAAAAGTCCAGAACAGACTAATAGATTCGTATGAGAAGCATTTTGAGGGATGCGATTTATCGAAAACACAAAGAGTGCAATTGTACCATACGTTTTATTCCATTGCACTCGCGGAGAGTGCAATGGAACGCGTTCCATTGCACTCTTGGGAAATGGAATTTTCTATTCAATATCACGTGACCATAAACAGCCAATTAAACGATTAGAATTTAATAAGGTATTATATAATATTTAATAGTTTATGATAAACATTATTTTTGTTCTAGCTTTCTTCCTTTCTGTTTCGAGTGGCTCCCAACCCAAAGCATGTAAAGCAGTAGAATGATTTACGTCATCGCTCATGTCCATTATAATCCTAGCAGCTCAAAAGCAGCTCTATATTTTGGAGTCGTTTTTTATTGTGTTTCACCAAACACATCCCATATAATTATATACTTCACAACAGTCTTGTTAAAATTTGTTGCATTTTCGTTGTAATGATGATCATGTAGTACTTATATGGTATAGCCAATAAAAAACGCAAAGTTTCCTTACTTACCACATTCCAAAATCCAATATTTCCTTTCCTATCACCAGCACAGATGATAGTTTTATCACAGCTTGGATGGAATGTCATTGTTGTAATTTTTTCCCAAACAATTTTACAAACGTTTTCAACACTGACACGTAGTTTTGATGTTCTTTCTTTGAAACTAGAAATATGATCATTACTTAATTACATTATAAGATTAGACCAAGAAAAAGGTTTTTATACAAGGTCCTCACATGCAATTGCATGGGTCAATTCATCTTTGCGGACATTACATTCAAAGACCATTTTGCAGAGTTTTCATTCTACTCTTCTTAAAGTAATTATAAAACGTTCATGTTTCATTAGCCACATGGTACCCAAGACGGCTAAAATCTTAGTTTATAACACAAAGCAAAATAAATGCATTAAATCTTTATATCTTTATATCATTATATAATTTTCAATCAGTTGGTTTCAAGAGTTGTCACGGACATTACAGCTAAAACAATCATTCACTTCAATATCATTTTACATTTTAATTTCTGTCCACAAACAATTACTATTATGTAAGGGTTAGGGCATGGTCACGCTTGTGTTATGTGTGATATAGAGTGCCAAGACAATCACTCCCCCCGCCCCCGCCCCCGCCCCCCCGAGTGACCCTTTATATAATTTGAGGCTTATATAGGGAAATCATTTCAGAATATAGTTCAGAGCTACACGGTTTCAGTCAGTGAGTTAGCGACTTACGAGGAGGGCCTACATAACGGAAGGCATGATAGTATTGATAGTTATTTCCTGGTCAAGAATCGCGAATTTCTCACTGCATATACCTTTCAGTGCATGACATTTCTTCTGAGACAATATTTGTGGTTATCTAAATGAAATAAAAACTGATAATTATCTTGCATAGTTGAACGAAACTGATGCGATATTAATGGAGAGACAAGAATCCTCAACTACGCACATCCCGGCCAAATAACCCAGATATAAAAAAACTTTGTATAGACGCATCCCAGGTTAAATTAATTATTGTCGGTATCAGTTACTCCGAAGGATATATTGAATATTCTAAAAGCGAAAAACTGGTCAAAAACGTTATGCCACTATACTGTTTCTGTATGGTAACAATGGCGATTTAATATTGCCGAAATTTTGGTTTTTAACGCACTTGTTTTAAAAACATCATTATATGCAGTATATGAGCTCACTTTCAGTTTATAGTATACAAATAATGAATGTTTATTCGTGCAATGGTAAGAATATTTTCATGAGGTGAAAGATGGAATGTTTCATTCAACGAGGCGACAGCCGAGTTGAATGGAACATTCCATCTTTCACCGAATGAAAATATTCTTACCATTGCACGAATAAACGTTCATGCATTATTTGTTTTATATAATACCAAAATACACTAATAGATTCGTATGAGAAGCATTTTGACGGATGCGATTTATCGAAAACACAAAGAGTGCAATGGAATAAAACGTATAGCACAATTGCACTCGCAAAGAGTGCAATGGAACGTATTCCATTGCACTTTTGGGAAAGGGAATTTTCTACTCAATATCACGTGACCATAAACAGCCAATTAAACGATCAGAATTCAGCAAGGTATTACATAAAATAAAATGGTATGTTGTACCGTACACATGTACTATACAGTATATGAGTTAGAAAAAGAATATTTGGTATACTACAAACCTTTGTATTTTTATTCAGCATGTCTAAAGAATGCAGGAAGTTCTTACTATCGGCTTCTTCAACGTCATTCTCTGGAACCGCGTTTACTGGACCAGATTGTCTTTTTTCCTACACACCACGCAAGATAATATTGTGTTAGCAAGAAATGTCCATTACATACAGTAGGCAGGAGAATTTCAGGCTTCGAATTAAAGTAATTAAATTTTATTAGTTCAGTTCGCTGTCTAACTGGTCTATATTAGCAGCAATCGAATGCTATACAGTAACTGATTCGTCCCCAGTCGCTCGCGTTGGATAATGGTGTAGCTGTCAACGCCTAACCCGCGAACGGGCATAATTCTCCCGTCCTAAAATATAACGAGGGACTGTGGAAGAGTCAGATATAGTAATGCCCCATGAGAAACAGGCGACGAATTGTTCCCGTGCTACAATTAAAACTGTTCCCACATTTAACATGCTGGGAACTATAAACTAGAGTATACAATGCATGAACATGCGTATAATACTCACTGTAACTGCAACACTGTTAGCAGGTGTATTTGGAACGATTTGTGAAACTGTCCTTCCATTAGCGTTCCCACTAATTCGCGTAGATCGTCGGATAGGTTGGAACGGTTTCGCTTTCGGCTTTCTCGGACTACAACAGGAACAACATAGAATAATATAAATAATATAATAATTAATTTACATCAATAATTTAACCTTTTGGAATTGCCACAAAAGCCCAAATATGATTTTTGGTATGCGTAATGTTTGAGCCACAATATATACAAGATAGTATTAACAAGACGCCTGTTCAGGCGTTCACACTGGCCTTCGCGGTTGGTAAAATACCATCGCAATATTCTAAAAATTAATTTGAAATATATAGATGTTCCTCACTTCTTGACGGCCGTCACTTCATGATCACAAACATTCAGAGTACGGCACAATAAAAATCCATACAAAACCAATAGAATTCAGCGATATCTTATCGAAAAACATAGAAAAAGTTCAAGCGTGTCGTAATCACCTGAACATGTTTTTAGCTAAATTGGAAATCCTGAGCCCACGATGCCGCAATGGAAAGTCACACTTGCGACAACCAAAAAAAACCCCGAAAAAGACCAAGGCCATTCTATGACATGCACTGGCTGCGGCCAGTGTAATAAATATTTGTATCTGCGTTGGAAAAATTCCGTCAGCCTTTTTACTCTAGAATGTGCCGAAAATGACGTCATTACACAAACTTGCTGCTAAAATTAATCAAAAGACAACATATCCGCCAACTTTGAGGGTCAAAAATTGATCAAAATGAGGTTTTTGCCCTGCGCAGAGAAAAGAACTTGGGAATGGTCACGTGCCTCCCACGGGGGAGTAGCATGAGCTGACAAACGTCCAGCGAGCTTCATATACACACACAATAGACTCACATCTTGTAGCAAGTCTGTCAACAAGTTGTTTTCGCACTGCTTGTCCCAAGTCACAACAAGTTTGGAACAAACTGTTAACAACTTGGGACAACTTTGTTCATATTATTAGATTTGTTACAACTTGCAAGGTTGTTCCAACAAGTCCAATACAGGGTACAGTCATGATATAACAATATTGTTAGAACCTTGTATCGTCAGCCTTGTAACATTCTTGTTATATAACTACTGTATTAGACTTGTTAGAACAACTTTGCTATACAAGTCTGATAATGCCATCAAGCTTGTTACAAGTTGCATGTTAGCAGCTTGTTCCAAACTTGTTACAACAACTTGTTGACAGCTTGTGAACAATTTGTAGCAACTTGTTTTCAGACCTGTAACAACTGTGCGTTTTTACGTGTGTGTATATCTGCATGGAGTGAGAACACGAGTCCAAAGTGTGAAGCCAATTATGGCAGAAATTAACATTCAGTGCTGGTAAACCTTTCTATTCGGTTTTTGTCAGCGCGGTTGACACGAAACTGCAAAGAATGTGCCGAAATTTCGTGTTTTAACGTCGATTTAGAGAATAATGATTTTATAAGCTGATAATTCGATTAACGATACGATCCGTTAGATTAAACTAGAATTAGCAGGGGAAAATTATCAGCGTATGAAAACTGTTTACAGATCATGCATGATTGGGTAAAATTAAAATACGTTAGCATATACTGTACAGTAGTCACTACTTACACTCTCCTCTCTTTCGCACTCAAAAAGCTTGCAGCCTTAAAAATATTAAACATAGTATTGTATTTCTTTATTATTATTAGTAAAGGGGGCCAGGGAGGGAAAAAACATGCCAAACACCGAGAAAATGAGTGATCAGTGATTATCCTCTATTAAATTGTATTACAGCAAAAAAATGTGAAATTTTATATTCAATTACAGCAATAATGACTTGCATCATCAGAAAGCTTGCAAAAATCTACATATAAGACATTAAACAGTTTCTTTATATCTCAAATTGTTTTCGAGTTATACGCTGTCAAAAACGCGTTTTTGATCTAGTACCCAGTCCTTATTGCGACATTTTGGTCCAATTTTCACATTTAAAACAGCAATAACTCAAAGCCTATTTGAAAAATAAAAAACTGTTTATAAGTCTTATATGTGGTTTTTTGTAAGCTTTCTGATGATGCAAGTAATTTTTGTTGTAATTGAATACAAAATTTCACATTTTCTTGCTGTAATACAATTTAATTAATAGAGGATAATCATTGATCACCCATTTTCTCGGTGTTTGGCAAGTTTTTTGCTTGGGAACTTTTTGTGGTAATCGAGCATCTATGGTACTATGCATTGAACCACAGAAAATCTATTCCCCAGGGGGTTGCCACGAAGCGAAATCATTTTGGCCAACGGCCTCGATTTCAAGCCACAAAAAGTTGTTGTTGGCAAACCCAATTTCCCCAGCTCCATCAGTATTTCGCGAAGTGTCCCCCATGCACAAAATATACACTATCTCAGCAACAGTAATTTAATAGAAATAAATATTTCCTGACATTTCTACCATACATTTAACAATTATTCACCAAAAGCGAGGTGATTATCGAGGTGAATATTCCCCGATAATCACCGAGCCTGAGGCGAATAATTGTTTTAGTATTTTTACACAAGTCCATCTAAACAATGGTCAATGGACAATGGAAAAGTGTATTGTACCCAAAACAAAGCCACAATGCTAGGGGAGGTATTGTAGGACAGCTACATTTTAGAACAGGTGCGGCGGTCTGGGAAAAAATCTCCGGGAAGGTGCAAAAAATCCCCGGGGAAGTGCAAAATGATCTCAGCGAAGGTGCACACCTCCCCACAAAATCTGATCATAACTAAAAACATATAATCAAAAGGCTAGTACACGGGTAAAAATTGATCAGGTTGTTCGGCGTTGTTCAAACGGGAGTGAACAATGCTGTGCTGCACCCCGTGAACAATATTGTTAACAAGTTGTTCAACCATCAGTACTGTTGCAAGTTGTTAACATAATTGTCAACAAGTTGCAACAATGTTGATGGTTCAACAACTTGTTAACAATATTGTTCACGGGGTGCAGCACAACATTGTTCGCTCCTGTTTTGAACAACTTGCATCAACATGATGATTTTTACGCGTGTACAGTACAGTACTGTCTAGCACAAACATTGCATTGTAATTATTTCACTTGCATTGTAATTATTTCACTTACATACAGGCCTCGAAATAAATCTGGACGTTATACCGGTCATTATGACCGGTGGATCACTAAATTTACCGGTCACAGCGGAAGTTATGCCGGTCCAGCATTGTCACTCCTTAGCTTTTTTTCCCCTCATCTTTCGCGTGACTCGTAATTTTAGAAACGACTGTGTATTTTAATTGTATTCGCATACAAAGTAGAAGTATGGCGTTTATCAAAGCTGTAGTAGTAATCATTACTAATAACATTAACATTGTTTGCTAACAGATTAATATTAAGTCGCAAATGACAACTGTAGTTTGAGTTGCAAGCAAGCTTTAAGGCTGCATTCCAGTTTAATTGCGTACACGCGCACGTAAAAGTTGAAATCGCTTTAGGCTACATCGTACTTGTGAAATAATTAAATTTATAAAAGGACAGCATTCAGTTTTGTGTATGATTTAATGTGTATTTGTTAAGATTATTTGCACTTATATGAAATTTTAAAAGATTTAAACTTATTAAAAGAATTACCGGTCACGCATGTCCGCCAGGCGACAGTATTTGCCAGTCAAACTGTGAAATTTTACCGGTCAGTGACCGGTGACCGGCACTTATTTCGAGGCCTATAGGAAATTTCAATACAACAATTCAGTTGATTAATGGACCAATCCCCAATTAACCAAAATTTGGATCTCAACAAGTCTAGACAAAATTCCATCACAGCATGAAAGAGCATCACAAAATTAGTAATATTCCAAAGTTTCGTTGCGAAATGTTGTAAAATGCGGATAACATAGCCTTGCAAAATTTGCAATTTTCGTCATTTTGTATTACAAGCGGGAAACGGTTACCACTTTTCCAAAATTTTGATCTCAACTAGCCTAAACAAAAATTTCATCACAGCTTGAAAGAGCATCACAAAATTAGTAATATTCCAAAATTTCGTTGCGAAATGATGTAAAATGCGGATAATATAGCCTTGCGAAGTTTGTAATTTTCAGTCATTTTGTATTACGCACGGAAGTGGTAACCATTTCCCGTTTGTAATACAAAATGACTGAAAATTTCAAATTTCGCAAGGCTATATTATCCGCAATTTACAACATTTCGCAACGAAACTTTGGAATATTGCTAATTTTGTGATGCTCTTTCAAGCTGTGATAAAAAGTTTGTCTAGACTTGTTGAGTCAGCGGCTTCACTCGACTCGAGTCAGCGGCTTCACTCGAGTCAAGTCGAGTCACTGGTTTAAGTCGAATCAACAGCTACACTGTAGACTTGACTTAAATCAGCGAATTTGATCAAGTCCACCCCACACTTTCTGTAATGGTTCGCTACTCTAGCTTGCAGTCTGAAATTAGTAATCAAATTTACCTTTTAATTAAGCTAATCACTTTAGTCATTTAATAACAGTATCTAGGCAGCTAGGCTATACCAATATCACAGTTCTAGTCAATATTAAGTACAACCACATGAGATGTCTCATCATGCCTGCTGATCGAGTGTACGTACCAGTTTCGTCCCCAGGCACTTTGATTTGCTGCGCCGTTTCGTGAGAAATGGAAATTGCGCGTCTGAGTTGGAGCCTGGGGACGAAGCTGTGTACGTACATACAACGGGCATAACTTGCAACTGGAGTAAGAATTAACTTTTAAGTTTAAATAATCATGCTTTGTAAGTCAATTTGAAATTATATAGCACTTCATAAATACCAAAAATAAAAAGAACCGGTTAGAATTAGTATAAGGACAAAAAATTTTGAGACTCCATTTTAAAAACTGTGGCACTAGCGAGTAGCGTTGTTTCTAAAAACAGAAATGTGATATAGGCATGCACGTCAGGAATATATTCCTTGCAAATCCCATATATTTTTTCATTGTTTACAACTTCACAGAGCTCATTGTTCTTCCCTAGCAATACAATCACAATAATTTTGAATGACGAATTTTAATATTCTGTACAAGTGACCGAGAATGGACTCGAGTCATTTACGGCAAAAATCAGCAAGTCGAGTCCGAGTCGAGTCATTTGGGGCTGTTGACTCGAGTCGAGTGTATTTTTCGCATTGGACTCGAGTCGAGTCCGAGCCAATGACTCAACTTGTTACAACACTGTTGCAGAGCAATCAATGGTGTCTGTTATGACGAGATTCCCCTGTGGCTGTGCACTTTTCGTATTTTAAGTTGTTACATTAATAAGTTTTATTGTATACTGTAAGTTTTATGAACATACCGTCGTAACGCCCAACGAAATTAACATAGCTTGATTTCGCTTGATATTGATAAGCCGTCGTTTTTCATATTCGGATAGCTCCTCATCTTCATTCTACACATGTTAGTATACGCAATCAGTTTATTTCAACATTAGTGAACATTACTGTATCAAAAGGTTATTGTTTTCAATATTCCATTGTTTTCACTAGTCAGGTCACAATAAACCCACATACGTATTGTAACACAATCATGATAAACCCAGTCAGTGTTCTGCTAATTACAATAGAGACATTCGTGCCTGTGATCTCGAGAAAACATGAAAGTGATCATACAGTACGTAGCGAGATCTTGGGAATAGGCTATTCCATCTAATATAGGCAATCCATCTTGGATGCAATTTTTGGAAGTTAGCCCATAGGACATCTTACTAACCCCTAGCTATTTAGGATATCGGTTTTACCTATTGGATTCACTAAAACACCAAATTTTTGTCATTTTTTTGAAAATCCCATGAGCGACCTCTAAGAAGAAACTAGTCTCCAACTCCTCCATTGGAGTGACCAGACTCTCAATAGAGGACGGCGAGGCATGGGGGGATGGTCATTTTAACGGTGGATCTGTCTGCTGTAAGGAATAGACAATTCCCATTATAGACTAACTTTAAAACTAGGCAAGGAGATGCAAATAAATCACCACAGCTAAAAAGAGCATACTAAAACTAGTAAATTTGCAAAGTTTGGTTGCGAAATGTTGTAAAATGCGGAAAATATCGCCCCCATGCAAAGTTTGCAAATTTTGTATACTTTTGTATTGCATGCGGAAATTGCATGCTACCATTTTCGGCCCAAATGTGGTAGGAATGTGGTAGGAATTTCGCACGCAATACAAAAGTATACAATTTTTAAGGCTATAATTAATAAAAGTATACTTTGCAAGGCTATATTTTCCGCATTTTACAACCTTTCGCAACCAAACTTTGCAATTTTACTAATTTTTAGTATGCGCTTTCTTGTCTTGCATTTATTTGCATCTCCTTGTCTAGTTTTAGAATTAATCTATAATGGGAATTAAGCCAAGAAAAAGAACATTTTCCAGTCTTGTTGGCACGTGCAACTTATCATCTCCCACACTTTAAAAAACAAGTAATTTGACCACCTTCAAATCTTGTTCACTTGTCTTTTCAAACGTCTTTGAATTTTCCATCCTTTTTGACTCTGTCAAGTCAATGCCAACTGAAAACTGAGAGTCATGAAATGTGAGGTTTATGAAATTGTGTTTATCATAATTGATGCGTTTGGTTATTAACTTTTTGCTTTTAATTTTACAGGGATTTTGGAAAAGCTTTCATGCGCGATAAATTGCAAAGGGAAGATTGATGAGATAAAGATGATGGATTTTAGCTATTTTATGTTGTTTGAGGTAAAAAAACATAAACCTAACCCACACACCCATAATCCTAACCGGAGGTTTTCATCCCAACTAAAACTTAACCAGACCTGACCTAGCTGTCAATTCTCCCAGTGCTGCCGGGAGACTCCAAGCTGAAACTTACTCTGTGAACTACGAGTGTTTTGCTTTTGTATCCACCCTTGCAGTATAAGTAGACATTGTAAGGATATAAGATGTAACATAGGATCTCGACCACCTTGTGGCAGGGATACAGTATGTACACCAGGCTTTCAAAATAAGGCAGTGGCTGCTGGAGCTCCGGCGGGTGCCACAAGATTCACCGCCGGTTACTTTGTTTAGTACTTGAATGATCAATTCTGCTCTCCTTCCTCCTAATCTAAGCTTTCAAACAAAGTTATTGTTTCTCAACTTGCTCTTTACTTTATAGCCTGGTTATTTTCGAAAACGGCATACTACTGTATTTCGTAAAATTGATTTAGTTATTTGCCATCTTAAATCTTAAAGAATGAAAGTAGTGATACATTATAATTTGGTTCCAGAGCTCAGTTGTGTTGCTATCTAATCAATATACACCAGTTTAAGACCCCCCACCCCCTCCCTCCCAACAGTCGCCTACTTTATCAAAACAGATACCTGCTCAGAATAATTCTGAAAGCCCTGTGTACAGTACAAATAAAATTAAAGTTGTGCTGCACATTACCCATACTTACGCAGTCTGATTGTTCTTCCCTGAAGTTTTTTGAGCATGGAGGTGATGTATTTTCAGACTTGATTGATTTGAGTAGTTTAATCTCAAGCTTTATATGTTTCCTTCCTTGTAAAAGCTTTAAAAAATCACAATTAGGGCTGGTTCAGACACAATTTGTAATACTAACCAATATTGGGTGCAGGCAAGGTTCACCCACAGAATAGGGACTTTATAGAAAGTATGACGTTATGTTAGCACCTGTAATTTGATCTCAACATAACTAACTGCTGCCACAACATCACAAAGGCTGACAAAGCACTCACCACATTCCTAGCCAGTGTACTAAGGAGAGGCCATCAGCCCCTGAAAACCAGGGGCTTGGAATCAAGGGGGCATGCCCCCCCCCCAATATTTTATAAGGGGAAGCCCGGATAGCTTTTGCCCCCCCCCCCCAATTCTTGGATTTAAAAAAATAATAAAAAAATACTGCGAAATTCTTGAAACAGGAAGCATTTGAAACCATACAGGTATATATCATGTTAATAACGTTCTGCAATTATTGTTATTTTAATAACAACATTTTGGTTTGTCTTTTGTCATTGGATGTTTTTGGTCACGCTGCGTGTTACTAGGCAGCGGTATTTACTTGTTCAAATACTTATCATCTAACATAGTCGCAAACAGGCTGCAAACCATAAACTGTAAACATATTTATAGCTTACAAGTCATACTGACAGAATTTGAAAGAGCTCAACAAAAGTGCTAAAGAAGACTCTGAATATGCCATTTCCAACGATCTGGAGACTCCAAATTATAAAAAAATTTCCCGCTTGGCCCCTCTAAATTTTACAAGCTTGAGCCTTCCTACACCCCTAGAATAAAGTGGCAGACACTCAGGTGGTGAATGCCTCTTGTAAAATGCAATGGCTAGGAACATGCATTTCAATGGGAAATCATTGCAAATACAACATGTTACACTTTTTTTGGCCGAGTGGCCTGAGTCATACTTTTGTATTTGTCTCTATTCCATGGTTCAGCTTTTATGCTGTAGGCATGTGGAATATGTTTTGTCAGAAGACTCAGAACAGCCTATATTAATTTATGTTTTGTTGGCAAAAGCAAAATAAGATATTATTATACCAGGCTATTTTTAACTGAGACCACAGAATAGTGGCCATACAGTGAGCCGACTCAGCCAAAAAAGCGTATTAGCCATATAACCGAAAATGTGTTCGTAACAATATTTACCAAACATGATTTTTTTTCTGTTGGTGTAATGTACTCCGGTGAATATGATGCTTGTGATGTTACTCTGAGTGTATATCCACACCGGGCAAGCTTGAAAAATATGCCTGACCACGGTGGGAATCGAACCTACGACTACTAGCCCAATGCTCTGCCAACTGAGCTACGCGGTCTGGTAGGTTTGAGTATGTGATATTTCGGAACAGAATCTAGTTCCTTCGATATCAATGTTATCTAGTAATAATCATGATTTTTCTGTGTTGGTGTAATGTACTCAGGTGAATATGATGCTTGTGATGTTACTGAGTGTATATCCACACCAAGCAAGCTTGAAAAATATGCCTGACAACGGTGGGAATCAAACCTACGACCTTTGGAATACTAGCCCAATGCTCTGCCAACTGAGCTATGCGGTCTGGTCGGTTCGAGTATGTGATATTTCGGAACAGAATCTAGTTCCTTTGATATCAATGTTATCTAATAATAATCATGTGTTTTTTCCGAAATATCACATACTCGAACTGACCAGAAAGCATAGCTCATTTGGCAGAGCATTGGGCTAGTATTCCAAAGGTTGTAGGTTCGATTCCCACCATGGTCAGGCATATTTTTCAAGCTTGCCCGGTGTGGGGCCATTCCATTTAATGTACACACCCCCTATGGACGAGAATTTCTGAAGGGGTTTGAAAACGCCATTTCCGAGGGGTTGTGTGCATCGGCATCCTTTGATCTTTGCATTTTTTTTCTGAGGAGTAAGGCAAAAATTTATTAATTTCTGGGGGGTATTTGTGTCGGCACTTTGATCTTTTTTTCTTTGGGGTTCAAATTTTATTGACCTCGTTCATAGGGGGGTGTGTACATTAAATGGAATGGCCCGACTGGATATACACTCAGAGTAACATCACAAGCATAATATTTACCAAATGTTCCAAATAAACGCACGCTAAAATAATTTATTATAATGTACTTACAGCTTCTGCTCTCTTTCGCTTCATTATGTTTCACTATACAGTCTATACTTTGACTTTTCGCCTTTTCAATTCAAAATTTGGGAACTATTCCACTCAAAGTCGTTCAACCAGTCGCCATATTTGAAACTATTTAAAGCCCCCTCCCGCCAAACTCGTAATATTCCCGCGTGATCAGTTGCAATCTGGTTGCAATTAGCGATGATCTCCCTACAAAACTGGAGTACTACCCAAAAACAAGCGAAGTATTTTGGCATGTGCTAAAACCTGGACGATGGGCGTCCATCGTCCAGGTTTTAGCACATGAAATACTATCAAAATGAAGAGAAAAGTCAGATGAATATACTGGTATACGAGTATACGACCGAAAAGAGAAAACCAACGATACCAAAGTTATATCAAACGTACTGCATTTTTAATTATAGTTTAATAATTTTGAGCGATTTGTCGACAAACAATTTCGCTTGACTTTCAAAGGCCATAAATCGCTAGAATACTGTTGTTTAGTAATACATTTGACATCCGTAAGTACAATTTGCTATACGCTGAATCGAACGGTGATATTTTATTTTGAGCGGCTTGTCTTTCACTGACCCATGAATCGCTGGAATTAAAAATTATGAATTTTGAAATCAATTTCCCATCCATAAATACAACGTCAACGTTTTAAGGCTTTACAAGAAAATTTTTCTTTGTGTTAATGTCATTAGTTCCAAATCAGAGCCCACAAGACAAAGAAAAATTTTCTTGTCCGTTCCAATCCACGGATAATTTTCCTGAGTGGAAATTAGCCTTTACGCTGCTTCGAACAGTGGTATTTTTGTCCATGTTTGGCGCATAAAACCAGAGATAAAGGCATAAAGCCCAGCAAACAGTCAGTCCTGAGAGTCCAAGATTAATTAATTTTCCCGCAAAAATGTATACTGTTTCGAGCACGTGCAAGGAATTTTTACTAGGCGATTAAGGAAACGTATTGATGCGAATACACTAACAAACGGACAAACTCACATGCAGAATATAATGCGTGCCAAACTGTAGCTCCTGACGTTCGCAATCTGCGTGTATTATACGCAATTGTCAGGATTAATTCGTTTATATTTTCAACTGACAAGTAACTCAACGCAACGTTTCGTTTCTTTTATATTAAACTTGAATCACTTGACGTAAACGAATTACGTCTACTATAAATACACGCAGGTATGAAATAGAATATCAAAAAATCGCAAGTCTCTAAACGTTAACTGTAAACTCTATGAACGTTCGCATATAATGAATTAGTTTCGCGCCAAAACTGTCCGTGAGAGTCTGGGTTCTAAACTATGAAATGAGCCCAC